AGCTGGAATCAGAACTTCTAGTCGGGACTTTTGACATGTTTCAATGTCATTATTTTCATAATGATGATATTTACAGTCTTTAGGTATGGTCCAGATCAATAAAAATTAAATAAAAATTCAAAACAAAAAAAGAATTCAATTGTTTTTTAGGTTTCTTTCTTTTCTTTTTTAAAGACAAGGGTTTCTCTGTGTATCCTTGGCTGTCCTGGAACTTGCTCTCTAAATCAGGCTGGCCTCAAATTTAGAGATCTGCCTGCCTCTGCCTGAGTGCTGGGATTAAAGGCGTGGGTAACCACTGCCCATCTTTGACCTTTTCCTGAATGTCTACTTTCATTTCTTAGCACATTCTCAGTACATTTGTACTGAGCACTGGACCTAGAACACTGAAAACATTGTACTAAAGCTGCAATTCCCAGATCATCTGTCAGACTTATTTTGAGACAATGTCTCATGAAGTTGATCAGACTGGCCCTGTCATGTTCTGGCCTCAGCTTCATAAGTCTAAGTTATTGGGCCTGGCAAACAAACCAAATCAAGTGTCTTTCAGTAGACAATTTCTAAAATATGGTGACTTTCCCCCCAGATAATTCTTAGCTTTAGTAATCAAGTTTGGTTTGGAGTTTTTTTGTTTGTTTGGTTGGTTGGGTTGGGTTGGTTGGGTTGGTTTGGTTTGGTTTGGTTTCGTTTCGTTTGGTTTTTACAGGGTTTCTCTGTAGTTTTGGAGCCTGTCCTGGAACTAGCTCTTGTAACCCAGGCTGGCCTCACACTCACAGAGATCTGCCTGCCTCTGCCTCCTGAGTGCTGGGGAAAAGGCGTGCGCATCACTAATGCCTGGCTAGTAATGAATTTGTACCTAACTAGAAATCATGCTATTTTTAAATATATCTATTATATATATATATATATTTCTTCTCTCCCCCACCCCCCCCACAACACACACACATACACCCACTCACTCACTCACCAATTAAAAGCACTTCTGACTCTTGCAGAGGGGTTTAATTTCCAGCACCCACATGGTGGCTCAAAACCACCTTTAACTACAGTTCCAGAAAATTTCACACCCACTATGGTCTCAAAGGCACTGCATATACATGGTACACATGCATGCAAGCAAGATATACACATTCAGAAAATAAAACCTTTAATAACAAAAATACAGTGTTTTTTAAAGATTTATATATATTTTAAATTTATGTGTGCATATGCCAGGTATGTGAGGGAGCCCTTTGAAGTCAGAAGAGAGCACTGGATCTCCTACAGTTGAAGTCATTTTAATACTTGTGCATTATTGTACTAATTAGTTAAGACCATGTACCTATTGTCAGGCAATCATCACATTAACTAAAATCATGGTAGCAAGAAATCTCAGCACTATTTTAATAGGCAGGCTAAAAGCAAACACTGCTGAATGGCAAGGATAATTTTTAACCTATTTATCAAGTTTAATAATTTCCAATTGCAGGTTTTATAACTTGTTTTCTTAAAAACTTAAGTTGGCTGGGCATGGAATCCAAGCACTGAGAGGCTGAGACAGGAGGACTGAAAGTTTGAAAGAGGGAGAAAGAAGAGAAGGAATAGCAGCTGCAACAGTAGAATGCTATAACTTACTAAGTATGTGCTTCTAGGCAAGTCATTAAATGTTCATATGCCTCCATTTTATCTCTAAAGTGGGATAATTGCTATTTAACATCTCAAAAGGGTTACAGAAATTCTGAGTCCACTGATCCACTAGGATGTAGAAGCTACCAACACCTCTAATTCCAGCACTTAAAAGGATGGGTCAGGAGGACCTAGGCTGTGAGAGCCTACCAAAAAAAAAAGAAAGAAAGGAAGGAAGGAAGGGAGGGAGGGAGGGAGGGAGGGAGGGAGGGAGGGAGGGAGGGAGAAAGAAAGAAAGAAAGAAAGAAAGAAAGAAAGAAAGAAAGAAAGAAAGAAAGAAAGAAAGAAAGAAAGGAAGGAAGGCAGGCTGGAGAAGATGTCCAGTGGTTAATTCAAAGTACCAGCTGTCAGGTGGTAGTGGTGCACACCTTTAATCCCAGCACTCAGGAGGGCGGATCTCTGTGAGTTTGAGGCCAGCCTGGTCTACAGAGTAAGTTCTAGGATAAGCTCCAAAGCTACACAGAGAAACCCTGTCTCAAAAAAACCAAAACCAAACAAACAAAAAGTAGATGGAACTATAAAAAATGCAGCCAGGGCTAGGCAGAGAAACCCTGTCTCTAAAACACACACACACACACACACACAAAATTAACATAATAGGCACAAACATGTAGTATGCACATTAGTATTTTTATAAACTCATTAAAATAGCTCATTAAATAATTAACACATTTTCCCTATCTTTCTTCTGCCTTATAATCTGATTATAATACTCCTTGGGTTTGTAGTCCAGGATGGAGAAAGGATAGTGTAATCAAATATAGTCTGGCATTATCATCATTGAGAACAAAACCTAAAAATCTTCACTAAGAAACACTTCACACCAGGCAGTAGTGACACACACCTTGTAGGCAGATCTCTATGAGTTCGAGGCCAGCCTGATCTACAGAGCAAGTTTCAGGACAGGTTCTAAAGCTACACAGAGAAACCCTGTCTTGAGTGGGAAAAAAACAAAAACAAAAAAACATTTCACCAGGCAGTGGTGGAACACGCCTTTAGGTGGATCTAAGTAGTTCAAGGTCAGCCTGGTCTAAGTAGTTCAAGGCCAGCCTGGTCTACAAAACAAATAAAAATACTAGGACAGCTAAGGCTGTTACACTGAAAAACTCTGTCTTGAAAAAAAACAAAACCAAAAAAAAAAAAAAATACTTCTACACAACTTTAATCCAGCACTTGGGCAACAAAGGATCAGAGGATATGAGTTTGAGGCCAGGGCTACATAATGAGATTCTGTCTCCAAAAGAACAAAAAGCACAACAAAACAGAACACCCTTCTAAAAATGTCTCTCTTCTTCTGATTTAGTTTTAAAAACATTTTCACATTAATACGCACATACACAAGCTTATATGTACAAATACAATCAATAAATATTTGAGAACCTTTTATATGCTCTAAGTTATATTGTTAAAACAATATAGCTGGTGCTAAAGTTAAAAAACTTTTAGGGAACTGAAGAGATAGCTCAGAAGAGCACTGGCTGCTCTTTCAGAGGACCCAGGTTTGGTTCCCAGCACATACATGACAGCTCACAACCATCCGTAACTCCAGTCTCTGGGGATCCAACACTCTTTTCTAGTCTCTTAGCACAAGGCACACACATGCTACACAGACAATTATAGGCAGGCAAAACACCCATACACATAAAAATAATCTTAAAAACAAACAAACAAAAAAAGAAAACCCTTAACATTTATAAAATACATCCTTAAGTAATGAACACATTTTCCCCGTCTTTCTTTTTTTTTAAAGACTTATTTATTTATTAAGTATACAGTGGTCTGCCTGCATATGTCCCTGCAGGCCAGAAGAGGGCAGAATATTTCATTACAGATGGTTGTGAGCCACCATGTGGTTGCTGGGAATTGAACTCAGGACCTTTGGAAGTGAAGCCAGTTCTCTTAACCTCTGAGCCATCTCTCCAGCCCCCTTTCCCCGTCTTTCTATTGCCTGGTAATCGCTCCGATTATGACTCTCCCTGTGAGGGCTATACGGCAAAGTGAGAATATTTGTTTCCCATTCTTGAAGTCCCAGGTTAAATCCCCAGTACTGCTGGGCACTGTGGCACACTCTTTTAATTTCAGGACTCAAAGCAGAGGCAGACAACTCTAAGGTTCAGGCCAGTCTGATCTAAACGGAGTTGCATCAGGACAACAACAAAAGAGCTACATAGTGAGACTTGTCTCAAAAATCAAAAGTAAATAAATCCCCAGTACTATCCAATAATAAAACAATAAAAATAATAATAATAAAGCCAAACACTATAACTAGGCACTTTAATACACATTAGCTAACTAAGGAGAGAGCTACTTTTGTAGAAGAAATAATAAAGTTTAGAACAGTAAAAATCTCTTGCCTCAGGTCACAGAGCTAAAGAAGTTGCTAAACTGGTATTTAAACCTAAGGTGAATTACAACACCCACTTCCCCCACTGTATCTACAGGACTAACCTACCTCTAGGGAGGAAAAAGCCATGAATTCAATGGCTTGGATATTATAGAAAAATATCCAAGGCCCTTTTCAAAGAGATCATAAAGTACTTGTTAGTGGATACGTGGATTTCACAGTGGCACTTGGCTTTGGATAACAAGTATGGACTAACACAGAAAGAAGTGTTTCTGCTGCTGATGAACTTTTTCTCCAAGTCTTTGACTTTCAGTTGTTTCTCATTTCTAAATAATGGAGAATATCCTTACTATCTAACACCAAACTCTGATGATTAAGCATAAAGTCTAAAAAAAATAAAATAAAAAGATTTTAAAGCAATTATCATCTGTTTAAGGTACATATCCTATTAACTTTTCCAGAACATTCTATGGGCCTTTTTTTTTCTAAGCATAGTTTAATCAATTACTTAGCTTCTTATCCTTAGATATAATGATATAGCAATCAGATCAATAATTGGTAAATAAATTACATATCATTTTGAAATGCACAACATCCAAAAAAGTTTCCAATTTAGAATTTAATCTAAGTATGTGTTTGGTGTCACTGCTGTATTTATTAATTTATCATCTTTATGTTTGAACCTTTCAAATTCAGTTTATGTTAAAAAAAATTAACTGGAATTCTAAAGTAGAACACCCAACATATAATTTTAAATGATTGTAAGGGATTTCCCTGAGGCCTCTCAAAGCAGATACAATGGCCTACAAGCACTTCAAGCTCAACAACGAAACCCACTGAAACATTAAGCTGCTCTAAAAGAAGGATCAGGCTCCTTAGCAAAAAACTACATTGTGTGAGTCTGCAAAGTTTCCCTCTTTTCCATTTCAACTCCATCTCAGAGAAAGCCTTTGCATACTAACACAATATGCTGTAAAAACGGCACTTTGCTGACCTTCCAATAGTCCAGCTCTATGAAAATTCTGGGATGGGTGTAACTTCAGAGAATCTGAAAAACACAAAAAGCATTAAGTACTTTTTATGCTGAATGAGAAAAATGCCTAGGATAGCATACATCTCTTATATAACTATTATGTGTTTTTAAGAGCTTAAAGCCCATATAAGTTTAGTCTATTCCCTGCAAAAAGAAGGTTGGGTTGCTTCTACACTGGTCTCAAAGCTAAACTTAGATTTTGATAAAGCATTTGTTTCATGGAAAATTATCTAAAGACTACTGCCCAAATGGTGTTACTGTCTTGATTATTTTTAGCATCCAATTGTACATTAGCCCTATTCTAAGGATCACCTCTTGATATTTTCTTTTCCTTCTGACACTTGAGACTACAATATTTCTAAGCTATTTAGGTAATATCTGAGAAACATCCTACAGGATAGTGACTGCCAACTAAAGTCATCAGCGCAACAGACAACGGCCTAACAGTTACTAAGCAGGGCTCCATGTACAAACTCAATAGTCTATAAAGTCAGCACCTTCCAGGATAAACCACATCCCTCTGATTCACTGAAACAATATGACTACACACTAATGTCAGGTTTAAGTCCCCTCCAGTCCCCCAACCCCAAGAGGTGAAATTATCCGGTGGGTTTGTAAAACTAAAAACAGAAGAAATGCTGGATTTCTCGGGAAAACGGTTCACCGTGGTATGTTTTAAAATATAAATGAATCTCTAAGACCCGTATTTTGCCCCCTCCCACTGGTCTAAGTGGTGGAGTACAAACGTGGGTGTTTTGGGTTTGATACCCCTTGCATAGGGAACCTGTTCTGACACATTCTTATGGTGTCCAGTGTAGGAATTCAACCCCAGCAGCGATCACCTCCAGTGTTAATGTTTTAGATGCTGGGAATCCCCTGAAGGCTTTAGCCAAAATAGTTTTAAATGGGAAGCTCTGTTCATTGCCTCCTCTCTGCAAGGAGCCCTTGAAGAGCAAAGAGAAATTTCTCTAAGGGCAGGACTGTGCCCGAGCCTGGTACTCCAGGGAGAGGAATACAAGTAATCCAGGGAGGGCATCCTTATCTTTGCCAAAGAAGAGAAGTAATTAGAATGCCACGGAGGTGAAAGAGAGAAAAGAAGAAAATTCGAGCCTTTTCCAGGCAAGAGGATGACGAGGAAAGGAAGAACGCCTGGTCGAGGGGGGCCGTCCCGACAAGGGGAGGGAGTGGACTAGGCCGGAGCGGGGGGGGGGGGGGGGGGGGGGGGGGAGGTAAGGACGACCGCGCACAAACAAGCCGAAAGAGGGAGAAAAAAATGGTGACCCTGAGCTCGGAAACCTCTTGTGGCCACGCAGCCCCGAGTGGGACAACTTTGCCGGGGACGAGGGTCCGGGAGACAGAAGCCGCGGTGTCCCGACCCCCCGGCGGCGCCGGCACGGGGACCAGTGGGGTGATTCCCGAGCCGGGGGAGGGCTGGGCCGGCAGCCCGCCGAGGGTGGCGGCGCCGGGAGCGGCCGCCCGTCAGGATGCGAACCTCGGGGGCCGCAGAGGATTCGGGAACGGGGGGGTGGGGGGGTGGACATGGAACCTGAGCCCCCAGACGTCCCACGCTGCGCTGGGGAGGGGCCGCCGCTCCGCGGTTCTCAAATCACCCCCCCGGCCCTCCCGGGGCGCCCCCGAGCCAGTCCGGGACTTTCAGGAGGGGGCAAGCCCAGCTGAACTGGGCTCCGACGGGCACCCCCCGGGACTCCGCGCGCCCGCGCTCCCCGCCCCCACGCCCCACCCCCCCCCCATCTGACTCACCTCGCGAGTACAGGGACTTGGGCGATTCCAGGTCTAGGTCCGCGCTGAGCAATGAGATGAAGTCCGAGGGCATCGCAGCTCGACCCAGCCCGGCCCGAGGGCAGCGGGAGGGGGGGAGCGGCGGTGGCGGCGGCACCTCCTCTCCGGGACCGCGGGCACCGAACCGGGGGCGGCGAGGCGAGGGCGGCTGCCTCCTCCTCCTCCTCCTCCTCGAGGGCAGTCACTTCCCAGCCGGCCGAGCGACGAGAACGGCGGCGGCGTGGAACGCGGCTCTGCGGAGTGGAGAACTGAGTCCCGGTGAGTCCAGAGAGAAGACGGTTCGGGAGGGGAAGGGGAGAGGGAGAGCCAAAGGGTCCGTTTCGGGCTTCTCCTCAGCGCACACTGACGGCCGCCGCCACCGCCGCCGCCGCTGACAGGAATCTGAGCCCCGCCCCCTCGTGAGGCACTGCGCACGCGCGGAGGGGGGAAAGCCAAAAGCCCGGAAGAGCCTAGAGGCCGCCGGAGGGCGGACAGGCGCGCCACGGAACAGCATCAACAAGGGCTTCGCTTCCTGCCTTCGCTGCCGCCGCTGCTGCTGATCCCGGGCTGGGAAAGGGCCCCGCCAGCAGGGAGGGAGGAGGGAGGCGGCCTGGCTCCTGGGGCCCCGAGAAGGGAAGAAATTTTTGCCACGACCTGGTGGCGGCGAGCCTGAGGCGGCCGGCCTTGCACCGTGGTGTACGCAGGAGGACCCGGGCCCTGGGGAACCTAGATGTCTGCAAGCAGGGGAAAGACCTCCAGAGACTTGCAGCGACCGAGGCCGGCAGGCTGGAGCTCGCGCAGGGGAATGGAGTTCCGCGGCTTGGACAGCAACCCAGCCCTTCGGGGTTTTTCATACTTTCTGCAGTGAGCTGGCCAAAGGACTCTCAAACTCAGTTTTAATTAAGAGAGGGCAAACCATACTCTAACCACCCCCCAAGTTATAGAGTTTTGAGGTTTTGTTTGTTTTTGTGAATTTTTGTTTTTGTTGATTTTTTTAACCCTTTCTAGCCTGTAGCTCACTATGTCTGACCAGGCTGGCCTCAAACTCACAGAGCTGTGCTTGCCTCTGCCCAGGTACATGCCACAGTGCCCGGCTACTGGTTATTTTAATTCAAATATTTCTCCCAGGTTACCCACACCGTCTTTATGGTAACTGCATTTATTTATTTAGACACACGGTATTGCTATGTAGGTCTCAGTGACCTGGAGCTCACTGTGTCGATTTAGACTGGCTTCAAATTTAGAACAATCCTCCTGATTCGGCCTTCCGAATCTCATATTACAGGAGAGTGCCACCACGCCTGGCTTTGATCTTTTTCATTTTATTGATAACAATGTCTCTGATAGTGAATGCCCAAGTTTATTCGAGAGTGGAAAATAAAAGACAATTTGAAAATTGGCTACTGCCAGTCCATCTGGCCGTGAGAGAGAGAGAGAGAGAGAGAGAAGCAAACTACGCTTCCAACCAGGTTTTCACTTCTCATTATGCATTCAAGTAAGGATGGAGGACAAACGCGTAACTGAGGGGTTTTGGCTAGTCTGTTCGTGGGGGCTAAAAGTTTCCGTTGCATAAGCAAATCCTCACCTACACCACAGACTGTTTCCTGACTCTAATAGGCTTCTGGGAAATTTTTAATCAAGTTATTAAAATATCAACTGGAACACAGGCTGTGCATCTTGGGAAATAATTTTTAATTTTGTGTGGAGTATGGATGCCAGCAGCCACATGGGCAAAGTTTTTGAGGTACTCGAGATGGTTTGGTTTGTGTTTCTGTGTCTACAAAGCTAGTCACGGGGCCTAAAACCCTGCCGATTTTGTATGTGTAAATCCTTCCCAAAGCTTTGTCCCTGTGAATTTGGCCACTTCATAGGACTTGGAATGCTGGTGTTGGTGAAGACTCTCCAAGCAAAGGAGAGCCCAGCGTGGGTGTCTCTGGAATGGGCCCCTGACAAAGCTTCACCTACTACCTAGAATTTACACGTGCCATCAGAAACCACCTGTCCTTGCCCAGTTTCCCTCAGAGAATTCCCAGAGATAGTTAATCAACCCTGTGAGCATTTTCCTCTGTCAGAGGTAAGAAAGAGTTTCAGAGCCACCCCAAGATACGGCAGAGCAAAACAGGAAACTACCCTCAAACTTCTATGGCCACTGCCCTGTGTTGTAACAAGTCCCAAGGGAAGTCCCTTCATAACTTCTAAGAGCCCCGCTCATGATAAGAGAAGATTTAAACCTCCTCTTTCCCAGCAGGCGAAGGCCAATTGAAATCCTATATCTTTGAGGTGGAGTGAAAAGTTGGTTGGCGACCCAGCTCTCCCATTAGTCACTCCATAATACATGAAGAGGAAACTGCAGTGCAGCAGGCTAAGCCTCGCTACTGAGAAAGCGGGGTGAATCACTGAGCGTTTTTCCTTTCGCCAAGCCTATGAGATTGAAACACACTTAGGGTGTAGGAAATCCCCTTTCTGGCCCTAATTAACAAGAAGAGCCAAGGCCTCTTCCCCTTTCTTTAGCTCTTCTCTGCCCTTTATTGGCTTTTTTCCATTATGCTTTCTAGTTTATCAAATTTCCTCTGATTAGAGAAAAGCAAAACGGCCGGGCGGTGGTGGCGCACGCCTTTCATCCCAGCTCTCAGGAGGCAGAGGCAGGCAGATCTCTGTGAGTTCGAGGTCAGCCTAGTCTATAGAGCAAGTTCCAGGACAACAAACACCAAACCTACAGAGAGAAACTCTGTCTTAAAAATACAGAAAGAAAGAAAGAAAGAAAGAAAGAAAGAAAGAAAGAAAGAAAGGAAGGAAGGAAGGAAGGAAGGAAGGAAGGAAGGAAGGAAGGAAGGAAGGAAGGAAGGAAGGAAAATGAAGAGGGATCCTCCAAAATGTGACTTGGGTTTGGCTTTGACAGTTAATTCTCTAGACTGGAATTCCACAGGTCCAGAAGCCATCACCCCAGCAAGTCCTGCACTGAATACTCTGTGTGTGTGTGATTTGAGACAGTGTCTCTCTCTCTCTCTCTCTGTAGCCTAGGTTGGCCTGCCTTTCAGGTTGTCCTTAAATGCCCAGTGATCCTCCTGCCTCAACCTCCAAGTACTGAGAAAGCATGAGCCACCAAGAACAGCAAGCATTCATTATAACTAAATTAATGCAGATATATATTCTTTAAAAAAAACTATTTCAATTAGGGCTGGAGAGATGGCTCAGTGGTTAAGAGCATTGCCTGCTCTTCCAAAGGTCCTGAGTTCAATTCCCAGCAACCACATGATGGCTCACAACCATCTGTAATGAGGTCTGGTTCCCTCTTCTGGCCTGCAGACATACACAGACAGAATATTGTATACATAATAAATAAATATTTTTTAAAAACTATTTCAATTAAATGTTTAAATCTTATTTGTTATTATGATATGTGTATTGCCTTATGCGGTCAAATAAGTGCTATGGTGCATGTTTCCAAGTCCAAGGACAACTTCGTGAAATGAATTATTGAGTTCCAAGGATCTAAGGACCAAACTCGGGTCTCCAGGTTTGTGTGGCGAGTGCCTTTCCTCACTGAGCATCTTCCCAGCCTGGAAAACTCTTTGGAAGGAGAATTTTGTGTCCATGATTTGTAGCAACATAGAAACCTAGATTTATGCCAAGCCTGGCTCACACCTAGGATGCAAACGCTTACGAGGCTAAAGCAAGAGGATCAATACAAACCTGAGGTTACATTTGGATTATAGTCTGAGACCTTATCTTAAACAAGAACAAAATAAAAAACAGAAGACTACCGTAGCTCAGGAGCATGCTTGCCTAGAATGGACGAAGCCCTGGTTCCAGTTGTCTGCTCTGTAAACACTGTGTGTGAGGACATGCACTCGTACACTTTCAGTCCCAGTAGAGGCAAGAAGAACACAGTTCAAGATCTCCTTGGTTATACACCCACTATGACCCTAGCCTGGGTTACAGACACCCTGTCTCAAGGAAGGAAGTAAATAAATGGTGAGCTGAATGCGGGGATACATGTTTGTAACCCCAACACTCAGGAGGTGGAAGCAGGAGAATCCGAAGTACATGGGATCCTGAATCAAGAAGAAGAAGATGTGGAAGTGTGTGCTGACATCCCAGTGCTTGAGAGAGAACCAGAAGTTCAAGGCTATCCTGAGCCACGTGAAACCTTGCTTCAAAACAACAAAATCAGAAACATTTGGGTGTGATGGCACCCCATGCTTTTGACCCCTGTGCTTGAGAGGCAAGGCAGGCAGATCTCTGTAAGTTCGGTCATCCAAGGCTACATATTGAGACCGCGTCTCAAAAACAACAAAAAACAAACAAAAAAATGGTTTTTGTTTTCTTTGTAAATTATATGTGACTTCTAATTCCCATGGTATTTCCCTGTGTGTTCATTAATGTCTCAGTGACATTCTGTTTTGTCTAGAATTGTAATGATATATTTTAGACACAATCCACAACCTGTACTTCTTTATAAAACATGAAGACAAACAACAACAAAAATTAAATCGTTTAAACATCTAAAACCTGGAAGTTGCTGCTTCTTGTCAAAAATCATGGTTCATGGAACCATGGAACAAAATGTCCAGGTATGGCAGCGTGTACAATTCTTTTTATATTACTTCCCAATCATATATCATATTCCCTAGTCATTTGATAATTTCACAAGAGCCCAGATTCGACTACAAGATTGCAGAGATTACATAACAGAGTGGCAGTTTTTATATCAGCAGTGCATTCTTTAACCCCTCCTGAACCTGCTTAGGCACTTTTGTGAACTGTGTGGTTGGATCTACTGTAAATGAAAGAGGTTCGAATATCAACCACTGAAAAGAAATGAAATAAACGCGTACAGAAGAGAGGAATGTGTTGTCACAAGATCTGCAGAATCGCTGCCCTTGTAATACAATTAAGGCTTTTAAAATGATTTTAGTCACACATATATTGTAAGGAACCTGCTAAACAAACGCAAAACCAGAAAGGAAATTTCCCAGAGCAATTTGGGTAATAAACCAAAGCGGGTTTGGGGCACAGATTATTCTTGCCCTACCTTGGGAGCACTCCTTTATAATAACAAAAGAGATTGTGGTGTGAAGTAGCAATGATTTCATTGTGCTGAAATTCTAATTAAACTTATACTTGCTTATGTTTATGTATCAGAAGCCACACTGAAAACATGTCCTAGCAAATATTCCTGAAGGCAAAATTAGACTATGTGCTATTCACATCAGATCTAGAAGATTCCTCTGTCTTCCAAAGTGCCTACATCTTATGATAACCAGGTATTTAATTCTATAAAATACTTCTGTATGCTGTTATGAGATTGTCCAGGTCACTTTTGATCTGAAGTCTTACAAACATCAACCAAGTTTCTCAGGGTTTTGCAGGGATGTC